GAAGAGGAACCCCCCCCCGTGGGAAGCGTGAGATCGGTCTTTCTTTGGGACAGAGTAAAAAATGTTCGCGAAGAGCGCGTGCACGGAACTTTCGCGCCACACGGCCATCGCTCGCCGAACAAGCTATGCAGGGCCGTGACTATGCGTTGTATGGACCTGGACCCCGATCACTTCTTATATGTATATGTAATGTTTAATTGTTTTATAAATTTCCATCATAGTTATGAGAAAGTTTTTCACGATTGTTCTGTTTTAAATAGTTTTAAATAATTTGATAAATTATGATAAAAGTTGGGAAACATTTGTGGATTGAGAAATAGGTTACGGAAATATTATATTTATAGAAGTACAAATAGAACCTCAATTATTCAAACAAATTGTGTTTACAAACGTTCGGATAATCGAACGGCAAAATAATGAATTAATTTTATCTTACAAAAGGAAAATTATAATTGAAATGTAAACGAAATTATTGTTGTATGTTGTAATGCAAATTACAAATAATAATAAATATTATACAACTATTCTATACCATGTTATATGGAATTGTATTTAACTGTATTACGACATATTTGTTTGTATTTTACATATTTTTTGCGTATGTTTTGAGCATTTTGAACTATAAAATTATGAGGTACGAAATATTGAGGTACGAACTGATTCGCTGTCGAACATGCTGTCTTCGATATTAAAGTAATTTACTTTAACACAGTATTTACTTACATACTTCAGAAAAAACGATGAAAGTGTTTCACATTTCACTTACGACTGTTATCCTCGTAAATTTTTTATGTAAACGAAAAGTGTTTACAACTACCTAGGAACAGAAACGTTTCTATTTATTTCGGTGTCATTGTATATTTGATACTTAAATTTGTTTTTATTAATTGAATTCTTTGATAACGATGAAAAATAAATAGCATATAAAGATAATATTCATGCACAACAACCAAAAACATCTCTCATTTTGTATTACATTCTTTATCTTATGTTATTACTAACGATATTTTACTTCAGTATGATATAGTAATAATGTATAACACTGTTCAAGTAGAATAAATTTCCCTTTACAGTAGAGATTTATACGAAGAACATTTGACTACATTAAAATAATTTCGTGTACATGATACAGGTTAAAGTTAAATTTGATCATATGGCATAAATATTAAACACGTTTCAAATGAAAACAGAGATGTCAAAGTAAAAGTGAAAAATAAATGAAATCGGTGTTTACCTAGGCAAATTAAACGCCCAATTTGGAAATTTCATTGTGTCTTTGGTAAACGTTATATTTTTCAGTTAACTTTATTTTTTCAAATTTTCATAAAGATTTGCTCCACAAAAATTGATGATTGCTTCGTCGATATGAAAGCCTCATTCTTTTTACGACCGGTCGTTCTCAGTGCCAATCCGATAGAGATATTATTGCAAAACGTTTTCGCGAGAGATCCTCTCGCTGGTTGGACGCCTTGCTCGTACGTTAAATCTAAAACGAAATTAGCCTAGTTTATCGCGACTCTGCCCTCATATCATTTGTTCTTCGATCACGAAGTCTTTGCCGAAGCTATGTCGTAAAATATTTTTCCCGAGGAATAAAAGTATGTTTAGTTGCCTTTTTTTAATAGAAAAGTAATATAATATACTACCTATAACTTTGGTTCATCATTTATAAAATAAAACAATCATCAACTATCTGTTGTTAATAAGCTTTGTTAAAAAATCATAATAAAGTGTAGACTTATTTTGTACATTTTAGTGCTGCCTGGATATTAACAAACTAAATTTTCAATATGAATTTTAAAGTGAGGTAAAAATAAGATAAATTAATATACAGAAAATAAAGTTTGACAGGTAATTATTTATATCAGTGAATTCCTTACGAATTTCGTCAACATTTTGTTGGGGCCTTGATACTGAATAACTTTTGTCTACCTACATTATCACTACTCATGCTTATTTCCAGAGATACACACAAAAATATAGTCAATATTACATATCGTACTTTGTACGCTGAATTTGGGTTAGATTTGGACTGATCAACGTATTATTATGTAGTTAACACATTCCGTGCCACGGAAATTTCGGTTATATTTTGCTTATGAACTGTATTGATTTTTTTAATAAAATATTAAGTTATATTCAAATTTGTGGTAATTTTTATATATTTTGATATTGTTTCTTTATGTTTTCAGTGCTTTGTAACGTATACCGCTGTCCGTGACCATGTGTCCCTTAAAAATATGTTCTTACAGAAATTCGCGTGTACTATATATGGTACAGGTGGCACTGAACGTGTTAATTTGACCCTTGTAAAGAGTTCTGTTACCTGTTACTGTTAAATTTCAAAATTGTAAATTGCAGTTACCATTTTATTTCTTACTAAATTTAAATTTAATAAAAATGAAATCTATATAAGACCCCAATTTAACTAAAATTAAACTCAAACTCTATAAAGAAATGCGAATTATTAAATATATAAAATAAAACGTATTTTTGCGTGTATAGAAGATATTCAGACTAATCAGCCTGACAACATATTTCATATTTCAGCCATATCGGTAAAGAATTGCTAATGTACATAATTACTGTTTCATACAATTACGAACAAGTGAGAAATATAATAAAAACTATGTTAATGTAATTTTCTACTTCTTTTTGTTCTTTTACAAAACGAAATTTATTATGTGAAATATTGTGTATTAATGATATACTATTGCATACAGGAGTTTAAGTTGATTAATTAATTATTATTTAATTATTGAAATAAATTATGATAATTTATTTATGTATTGTTAAAATATAAACATAGTTAAATCGTTGTTAACATTGCCGTCATATTTGCTATTAAAGCTCTATACTTGTAACTATTATTTCTAACTATAGTATTATTTTCGTATATTTATTTATTATAGTTTTCAAATTATTGCTGGTTTTGTTTTTTCGGTCAATCTGAATTTTGTATAAACTGCTATATACATAGAAATTAAATTCCCTCTATCATGTTTGTAGCGGTACATGGCTCGCAGCGTTAGTACGAAATAGCATTGACCACTTAAGACGTTTAGGTATAGGCAATTAAGCCTGCCCTAAAGTCTGTAAGTCGGCTAAAATATTTTACACTTTTTACACGTGCGTAGCTGAATAGGCTACCCTACCATAAACGCTGCCAGCCATGTCCCGTTAAGGCTTCTTCGGCCGCACGGTCAGCGCGGCTCGGGAAAAAAATTCCGAATTAGAAATTCACAATTTTTCCCCTGCCAAAAAATCGAGGCGACGTTGGAGAAGGGAATTAACTCCACCCTTGAAGTTTCCAAGGGGTAACGCCTTTCCGAAGAAGAAGATAAATAAAGCGAAAAGGCGCGAGGAAGCAGATTACCCGTTCTGCCTCCGAACACTCATCTACGTAAATAAATAACTTGCAAACATATTTGTCGCGTGTATTCAATAACACCTTACATCGCGACAACTGGTGACCCCGACGTGATTTTGTGAAAAACATTTAGTGATAGTAATAGTACAGACACAAGTGATAAGTGCGTAATAGTGATGGCCAACGAAAATACAGATGTTTTCTTCAGCCCTCAGAAAGGTGCAAACTCTTTCGAGGTGCTGAACATTGACCGTGTGGGTATACGTGCTCCACCATTTTGGTCCAGCAATCCAGCTCTCTGGTTCCATCAGCTGGAAGCACAATTTTCGCTCAACTCCATAACAGCAGACTCAACTAAATTTTATTACGTCACATCGTTTCTGGACATGAAATGTTTGCAAGAAGTAGAAGACGTAATACTGAATCCTCCCGCTACGGGTAAATACGACAAAATTAAGGAGGAATTAATTCGGAGGCTGTCAAGGTCGCAGGAGCAATGAATACAACAACTCCTGGAGCACGAGGAAGTAGGTGACAGAACACCCTCACAATTCCTGCGGCATCTCCGAAATTTAGCTGGTAACATAAAAGTGCCGGAAAATTTTTTGCGTACGATCTGGATGAATCGTCTTCCAGCATCTATGCGAACCATCCTCGCAACGCAAATGAACGCATCGCTCGACAGGATGGCGGAATTGGCCGATAAGGTAAATGAATTTACACCTATCGGTAGATGTGCCACTATCACCACGGACACACGGTTCGAGATGCTGTGCGAACAAATGGCGAGGCTAACGCAGTGTTAGGACAACAAGGGGACAATTTTACGACAGGGGAATTATTCTTAGAGACGTTCGTGACCATCAGCTTTCCGTCCGGTACTTTAGCAGGCCGGCCTGCAGCCAATATGCGGCACATAAGGGTTCAGCGTAGAAATTAACCATTGTCTAGTTTTTTCACTTCAGTCCAGGTATCGTAAAGTCGTATTCCAGAGGGTCTGTTAGAATTTTAGAAAAAGTGTTCTCAAGGATTTTGACCTAATGGAATTTCCCCAGCGTTGCCAAACATTCATTCAGCATAGCGACCAACTCCGTCACCCCCGCTCCAGGAAACCCGCGCTACAGGCGGACTGGAAGGGGATGAGACAGGGGTAGGTACCTTGCGTAGGAAGGGATAGAAAAACCGCCCCTGAGGCCCACCTTCGTATATCGAGAAGGAGGGAGTAGGCCCAGGATCAGTATAAAAACCCTTCAAAACATCAGTTTGACACATCAGTTTGACAAATCAGTTTGACAATCAGTATCAGTTCAGTTCAGAGTCAGAAGCAGTTGAGAATCAGCTCAGCTTCAATCAGACTCAGTTGAGAATCAGCTTATCTATCAGTCAATTAATCATTCAGTCCCAACATTGGGTGGTCCTTCGAATACTTCAGCATATACTCAAAGGTGCTCGTGAAAATCCGAGTACTTTACACGCAGCAAGTCGCGGAGCTGACGAAAAATAACTCCACGACGCAGCATCACAAAAGGTCGTCTACTTTTCGTGGACGAAGAAGATGGCGTCACTACAGCCGTAGCCCCAACCGAAGCGGGAATAGCAGCCGCAGTACCAGCCCGTCGCAACCAAATGTATGTTGGTATCATCGAAGATTTGGAGAGCGTTCAACCAAGTGTACCATTCCCTGCACATACCAGCAGGAACAGGGAAACGAGGCCGATCGACCTTAGATGCGGCAGAAGTAGTCGATCCATCAACGAGCCGCTTAATTGTTACCCATAAGGACACTAAGGTAGAATTTTTAATTGATACCGGCGCCGTCATTAGCGTTTATCTGCGTAAACTAGTGAAAGGCCAACCTCCTAAAAGCGCGTACCCTTTATATGCCGCGAACGATTCTGCCATCTCTACGTATGGAGACATCGTTTTAAACCTAGATTTAGGATTGCGGCGCACAATTAAGTGGAAATTTATAATCGTGGATATCTCAAAACCGATAACTGGTGCAGATATGCTTAGGTATTACAGCTTGTTGGTAGATTTAAAGAATAAACAATTTATCGACAATATAACTAAATTAACTTCACGAGGAAAACTGGGGATTGCCGATTTAAATTCCGTTAGAACAATTGTCGGTGACTCTCCATACCATAAAATCCTTGCAGAATTCCTCGAAATTACTATTCCGACGCGCACGAATATTGCCGCGAAACACAACATTACACATCACATCAAAACCACTAAAGGACCATCAGTATTTGCAAAACCACGTAGATTAGCACCGGACAAATTAAAAATAGTTAAACAAGAATTTGAAAACCTTTTGGCAGAAGGTATTATTAAACCTTCAAAAAGCCCGTGAGCTTCACCACTATATTTAGTTCCTAAAAAGGATAAAGGTTGCAGACCGTGCGGGGATTTCCGAGCACTAAACGCGCGTACCATACCTGATCGCTACCCTTTACCGCATATAGAAGATTTTTCTAACATGTGTTACGTCATAGATCCGGCTCGAAGGACCAAAAATGTGACGTCGCAGCGTGGAAACCTCGATAGTTGCACGCCCGTACACGATTATTAACGCGGATTTAATTCCTCGGCTGGGGTTGTAAATCCCAGCTTTAACTTTAGGTCTCGTTAATACTCGCGACGCTTCGATTTCCAAATTTCTTCACAAATCGACTGATTCGATTCTGATCTCCGAATGATTGAGGTCAGACCACCGGTTTTTCACGATACTGAGAACCCGTTTTGATGTTGCGCGTTTTGAGACGAACGAATTCTCGAATTTCGAATTGGATGCTTCTTCGGAGTGTGAAGCTGGAGTGTAGTTGTCCCGAACGATGGACTGAATGTATTTGTCCCGAACGATGGACTTAACTGAATGTGTGAATGAATGAATGATATCCCGATGATAGTCCAAACGTTACTACATTCATCTCGTAAGTTCTTGAGCAACCATTATGATCTCTCCACAAAATGTGTTGGTAAGCACGATCCTCTGGTCGAACGAGGAATTGGCGGTACATCTTCTCGACGTTCCCGGTTATGACGAACGCATGTATACGGAAGCGCAAGAGTAGGGAAAAGAGGTCATCCTGTATTGTAGGGCCTATCATTAGCGCGTCGTTTAATGACGTGCCGCTACTTGCCTTTGCAGACCCGTCGAAAACCACGCGTACCTTGGTCGTCGTACTAGATGGTTTTATGACGGCGTGGTGCGGCAGGTGGAAGCCCGGTGCGTCGAAGGATTCTACCTGCGTCATGTGCCCGAGCGCTAGATAATCCCTCATGACCGCGGTGTATTCTTTTCCCAATTCCGGATCTCGTTCTAGTTTCCGTTCAAGCGAACGGAAACGATGCAGAGCGCGCGTTCGTGATTCGCCTAATTCGTTCTATTTTTCGTTGAACGGTAGCGCAACCACGTACCGCCCGGAATGGTCGCGTCGAATGTTTTTTACGAAATGTTCTTCGCAGTCGTGTTCTTCCGTCGATAAGTGTCGAACCTGAGGTCCTTCTTCCACTTCCCAGAATTTCTGCAGGTTGAAGTTCAGATTCGTGACGAAGGCCTCGCTTGTCGTGCGTGCGGTGGCGACGGTTGGGACGTTTCCCCCGATGATCCAACCTAGTTGCGTTTTCTGGAGAACCAAATCGCGTCCACCTCGGTCGGAAAGGTCGATTTGACCGATGCTGAGGCACGACAGTGCTGGGCCGGTGCCGATCAGCATGTCTATTCTTCCTGGTTGGTGGAACGATGGGTCTGCCAGAGGAACGTTAGCCGGTATGCGCAACCTTGATCGGTCTAACGGGACGTCCGGTACCCGTTCCGAAATTTGCGAGATCGCGAAAAACGTCAGTGACCGTTGGAAATTGGACAACCGCGATTTAATGGTTGTGGATACCAATTTGTTCGATACTGTATTCACTCGGTTGAGGCCTTGAATGGCTACGGATGCCCGGGTCGACGGCAAACGTAGCTTCTTCGCGAG